AAATAGTACTTACACAATTACTGACCTAGGCGCTCTTTCTATGGTTGCTGGTTGGTATGTAAGACAAACTGATGTGTGCTGCTAGGAATGGTAAGAGAAGGGGGCGGGGAAAAGTAAACTGCTGACAAGGCGGGGCTAATGGAAGGGATTATACAGTATAAGTGGGCCTACGCATCATATCTACTCTCATAGTGTTACAAATATGGGGTTAAGTTGGAAAATCTGTATCTTTATACTGCGCTTTTGTATACTTCAGAACGGCCAGTTGAAAACAACGGTAAACTGGAAGTATTGCTACAGGATTCTTATTTGTACCGGGCTGATTCCAGACAGTGATAGTCACAGTGTGAAGAAATGCAGATATAAGTTATAATGGAATTATTTAGAAGATATAGTAAAGATGATAGGTTTATTATATTAAAGAGCGATTTCATTCATACATATTTCGTCTATAACTTCACTGCTATAAAAGGAAACTTACGGGCAACAGATCATTAAATAGCGGACTATAAGGAAAGAGTACATATATTTAGGATTCTATAACATTCGTTAATGCAGCAGTTTTATGCCAGGAGGTAATGATGTCGACCCCAAAAATGAAAACTTAACAGGTAAATTAAAATAAGCTGAGACCCCATTCTACAGGCTCTGGGGCCCATCCAACCTTGTATCCAGTGGGCACAGGGGTTCTTTCCCCGGGGTGAAGCGGCAGAGGCGTGAAGCTGACTACTCACCTCCAACTAGTGCCGAGGTCAAGAAAATGTGGAGCTATTCATCCAACCCCCCATACGCTTTCTTGACGTAGTGCTTAATTAGCTAAGCACAGGGGCTAATTTGACTTTACCTTTTTGGACCCCATTTTGTACAGAACTTCTGCAATGGAGTTTCAAGTCATGTCTAATATACAACTTCCAGTTTCCCGATAGAGTTTACAGTCGAGGTGATTAATGGCATCACAAGCGATCGTGTTTATTTGTTCATGAATATGCTTGCAATTGACAGGAGACATGCATACATGATAAGCGTTCACTTAAATACGGTCCGTTTAAATTATGGCAAACTGAAAATATTAATACATAAATCCTACTTCTTATAAGCAACTTGATTCTTCTTCTCCTTCTGTTTTGACGGATTGGGCTCTCTGGTCTGTCTCCTTTCAGAATCAATTCCGAGATTACGACACTTATCGGAGGGAAAACCCACTTCTTATTAAACATAAACGACTGCTCGCTCATTTGCACTCTACTACATAACTTGCATAACTTCAGAGTTTTCACGCACTGTCACAGAACTTCTTTATATACAGAGACAGAGACAGGGTTTATTTCGAACATATTTATGTAAGATCTGGGGCACGCAGTAGCGTAATTAGTTGAGGCGCTATGCTACAAGCCGGAAAGTCGCGGGGTTCGAATCCCGATTAGGTGTTTTTTTTTTCAATGTACTTAATCCTTCAAGCCGCACTATGGCCCTAGGGTCGATTCAGCCTCTAACAGAAATGAGTACAAGGAATATTCTGGGGGTAAAGGACGGCCGGCGCGTAAGGCTGACAACGTTACCGCAATCTATGAGCCGGTTATCTAGAAAATGTGGAAGCCTCAACGTCTCACAACCCCATGGGCCTTCACGGCCTGTTACANCCAGCGACTAACCGCTTGAGCTATGGCGCGGCCTACCCTTTTACTTACTTTACATCCTATTCTTTAACAGAGATTTTAAGGATGTCTTTGGTTTCTTCCAAGGTACCACAGTCATGCCCGTGTCTAATGCACTCCTATGCTGGACGTATTTCCAGTTATAGTCCATCTGTCAGACATTATAGTCTTTATACGTTCTTTCGGAACAGAATGATATGCAAGTCTGGCCTTCTTCTTGTAATGTAGCTGTTATGTACCATTATAATATAAATAGCACTTAGCAGATAAGTTGTTCTTTACAGTGTCTCTCGTATTGGAAATTTTGGGCAGAATTTTTATGCCTGTGTTCCTAAGCGTTTAGTTACGCTTCTGATGTCCTTACTGATATGTATATATAAGCTGCCAATTTTGTATTATTATTATTATTATTGTGGCTCTACAGCCCTTTGTTGGGCCTTGGCCGATTTTTCAGTTTCTTGATCCTATAGATAGTCGGTTGGACTCCTTGACCAGGAGATCAGCCCGTCGCAAGGCCGCTACCTACACACAGAAGCCATCCGGGCACGTGGATGTTCAGAGAAGCACTTTCCATAGTAAGGAATCCTGTATCAGTTTTTGCGCGCTCATAATGGGCAACAAATCTATACCCACAATAATTGGATCTCAAAGACATGCGCTACTACGACGTACATTTTCTCTCTCTCTTGGGGCCAATTAAAGACCTGTAGAGAAGAAGCACATGCATATCCCCATCTGAATCCAATTAATTTAGACGTCTGTACCAGCAAAGCCACTGAATGTGTATAATTTCCTTCTGTCAGTCAAATTTATTAATCCTCCATTGGCAGGGAAAGAAGCATTATTAGACGCAGGTTTATGTTAATACCAACTGCATAATGAGGAGCTTCATAACTTGTACTCTTCTCCAATTATAATTAGTATGATCAAGTCAAGAAGGATGGGATTGGCACGGCAAGTAGCATGAATGGGGGAGCAGAGGAATGCATATAGGATATTAGTGGGAAAGCCAGAGGGAAAGGGACCACTGGGAAGACCAAGACGTAGGCGGGTGGACAATAGTAAACGTATCTTAGAGAGATAAGATGGAATGGTATGGATTGAATTGATCTGGCTCAGGATAGAGACCAGTTGGGGGCTCTTGTGAACACGGTAATGAACCTTCGGGTTCCACAAAATGCTGGGAAATTCTTGAGTAGCTGCACAATTAGGAGCTTCTCAAGAAGGGCTCAGCCCCATGAGTGAATTAGTTAGGTTAATACTAAACAAAGTAAGACAAATATATGTATATTTTTACTTATTTGTGAATTTAACTATCTACAATTTCGTACCTCCTAACATCGAATCATAGATGTTTTAATAGAAGGAAAAAATATGTAAGCTCATAAAACATTTGTATATGGCCGACATTAGACCAGGCAAGAGATGGTTGGATAGTGAACAAAAACACGGCAGCACAGGTATCTCAATCCATTTTATGAACTTATGCGAAGAGCTCACTTCGCATTTTAATTGTTTCATCCTACTACATAGAAGTATCGTACCTCGTTATTACTCTTTAAGTACTCTAGGATGGTCAGTATCCTTGACAAAATCAAGCGAAGAACATCGTTTCTCTTTCTACCTTCTTTTGTCAGCGACACTCCGACAGAGAAATAGGGCACTGGCCTCTAAAAATACCCTTTTAAATCGAACAAAGTAACATGGTAAATGTGAAAATTTGCGAAATAATACGAATATGAATTCATAATAAGGACCCCTCCACAAATTTCGTGGGTACAGCGACATATTCGGGTGCTACTACTGCAACATTTTCCACCTGTACTCCTTACATGGCACCAATTCTGACACGGATTGCAAATCTTAGCCTTTTAAGTTCTGACAATTAATTTCGAACATACTTTAAAATTGAACATCTGAATCGGTCTTTTGTAAGTATGTGTAACCACCGTCTCAAATGCAACACTTATTTTGGTGTTTTTTTTTTACGACATGTTTCGGCCTCATTAGGCCATCATCAGGTGTATACACTCCTGCTAAAATAGTTGCACTGTCGTCTTAGTATGTCGCGTGTGAAAGCGTTGTTATTTTTAAATTTAAAGTCTTTAAACGCTTTAAAACTTTATACAATTGCTGACTCAGTTCCGCTGTATCTGGTTGTATGTACAAAAGGCAACAGCATTAGTGCATTACGTTGACATTTCGGCGCCTAACAAAATTATTATAAAAAATGAAAGGTTAGCAGGGCTAGGAATGAAGAGAGGCGTGGTGTGTACAGACGCCATATACTCAGTTCCACATGCTTTTTGAGGAAACTGTTTTCAGGGACTCGAGAGGTTATAATTATTCCTCCCAACAACGACGTATACAACAACAAATTGTTGAACATATGTCGTAACAATGTTCTCTTAATGCGTGTTGGTAATGCCAGTCTTTCCATTTTTGATCGATCTGGAGCCTCTACTTAGCTCTAGAAAGGCATTCCAACCCTGAATGTGAAATCACAAATATGGCTACATGTTATGAATTCCGTGCAAATAGAACTCCCCTGACTGCAGAACAGAATGTGGAAAAGTAAAGGCATAGTGCAATGTATGAAAATCAAAATTAAAACTGAAAGAACTGTCAAATATTACGTTTCTGGGCATTACCCATCGTCCTGTCTGTGTCTAAAACACCCTCCTGTTTATATTTAAAAACACAAAGTTTCGGAGACCATACTGTCTTCGTCTTCAGGTAAAACCTAATAAGTTGGGCTCAATCGATAGAGCTAGTCCCTATCCAAACAGGAACCCAGAAAAAGGGGAACATCCGCCATTGAAAGCCTAACCAAGCAACGGCAGTGAAGACGTGACTGTGGACACTAAGTGTATGTGTGTGTGTGTAATAGTGAACTGTAAAATGTAATCACGCGCTGTGTATAAAAGAATACCCCGTCTATAGTCACTTATACACATGATAATATAATTAAGAGGACAGTCTATTTTTATATTGATCACAATACCGTTCTTCCTAACACTGGTCGCTCACCTCCACCTACCGTCAAAGATGAACTGGAATTCATCTCTACAAAGAATTGAGGTCCGCAATTGTCTCTGGTGCTCAGCCTTTAACCTTATTCTCTCCTACATCTTCGTGTCCCCAAAAGGTTTCCCCAGTCAAGTTGTGTGACTATTCATCACTAAATTAAGAGTGTATGCCGTAAAGTTAAGCGTGTAGTTTTCTTTATTGTTTAATGAAGAATTCTTCTTCCGTTGAAATGTTCTCATTACCTGTGTTCTCCGCCATGACCTCATGCTGTGTCATGCTGCATGTATAGTGCATTCAATTGACGTTGTAGCTTACCAGTTGTGTTAGTTTCCTCTTCCTCCTCTTCATTAATGGTACTGTGTTCATCGTCATCACGATAATAATCCTGCTGGTCAGCTGCTTCGCGACGTTGCAGTAACAGCTCTGGTTCTTCTAATTGCAACAATGGCTCCACGACCGCGGTGCAATAACAGCAACACATAAGTAAGAATACGAGGAATCGATTTAAGTTATGACGGCGGCCGCGAGGTGGCGGTCCCGTCGCATATACCACCAGCTGGTGACACATCAGACAAGTCCTCTCATTGTAGCTTTGTTTCTCCTCAGAATAATGAGAAATATGGCTAAGTCCTCACTATTAACTATCTGTCTCATTCTGAGAATGTCAATCCTTCACTCTACCTCTCTCACTTCAATCAGTTTATTAGGTAAATGCATGGCCGAGACATCATTCCTCGGAGGTTCTTCAGAATATGAACGACTTTTCACTTCTGAGCACTTAGTTTCTTGTTTCCCATGGAATGCACAACATTACGTGAAGAAACGTTTAGTAGCATCGTAAAAACAAAATAATAACTCTATCTTGTATTATTTTAACTGTAACAAATTCCTTGTAAAACGGATGAACATGTCTTTACTGCACGGGTGCTGTACAGGGCAAAACATATTGGGATTATGACCTTCTGAGACTTGACTAAAAGTAATTTGATATATAGGAACCAACGTTTCGGTGGAACTACTGTCTCCATTTCCAGTTTGACCCCGAAGATGGAGATAGTATTTCCTCCGAAACGTAGCTACCTATCTGCCGAACAACACGGCGCCACATATCAGGAAAATCTTAATACCCACTATTGGAGAACCTACACTTTCGCGAGATATAATTCCACTGTGATTTTAATTTGAGCTGAAACATTTCTTAAGGACATTGGCTGTCGTAATAAGAGCTGTGCTGACAAATTTGGTATAGTAGGCTGCAGTTACTTGTTCAATTAATATTATCAACTATCAGTTTTTTTTTCAGTAGGCCTATAAGCTACAATCGGCCGGGATATGTAGCTGATCAGAAACCTCCATCTGATGCCGAGGACAAGAATGGTGGAGCTATATCTCTATTCTTCCATACGTCTTCATGGCATCGTGCTTAATTAAACACGGGGCTAGATGTATCTTTACGTGACATCCTCAGAAACTACAATATAACAGCTCTGATAACTTACTCACTGTAAGAATGCTGTTATTCTCTGTTGTTAACACAGTTATTGCATTTATAAACATATCTAAAATAACAGTTAAGCAATTTAAATTTCTCTTTAAGTGTTCGGTGTACCCATATGAAACACAATCTTGGTGATTACGTGGAAAAATAAATCCTCTAATAATTAAATATAAAGAAATTTCAGAAGTATTTTTCAAATTGTAAATGTCTGCTTTCACTGTTTCCCTCAACTTACTGCCTATTACACAATCGCACTGCATTCTTAGAACAAGTAACAATGAAAGTAAGTATCTTGTACGTAATATCCAGGTCTATTAATATTCGGAAATACACCGACTGAATTCCTATCCCAAATTATACGATGAAAATTAGCTGTCACAACAAACATATTAATCACTAGAACACTGGTTTCAAGCACTCCTGCAGAGCGCCTGCTAAAATCGCTCTTCCGTCCGACTTTCCCTCTCCACCCCTCCCACCCTCTATGCAATTTGAAAACCACTAAACGGATTTTAATGTGAATTTTATGTAAGGGATAGTCACTAAAATTTGTAAAAACATTCCACTTGTAAACATTATAGGAAAGCAACGGATGGGCCCTACTTCACATGATAACCTACAGGCATATCTCAGGTATTATTCATTAAATATTTATGGAAGCGAAAAGTGTTTTGAAAAATGCTATGCAGACTCATAAAGGAGTACTTCTGTGCTCAACAGACTTTTTCAGCAAATCTTACTGTTTTCGAGGTAAATAAAACTGATGTTATATGTGCATTTCTAAATTTGTGTATTCAATTATGAACAACGGTCTCCCGGCCACACAAGAAGATTATTGAAATATCTCCTCTCCATACAACTTAAATGAAGCTCCTTCCACTTGAATTTATAGATCTACATGTATATATATTTATATTTAATTAAAATATAATTGTTGTACTGCAGACATTTTATTCTCCAACATAATTATCTAATATACTGGAAAACAAATGCTTCAGTTGTTCTTGCAAAGGTTGCAATTAAGAATCAAATAAAAAGAAAGTCTTGGTTTAGTTCAGACTGCGTTTAAATTGGAATTATTTTATTCTTTTAGTGTAGTATTTTATTACAACACGACTTTAATCATGTATTATACAATACATTGCGTATAGACCTATCCGAATTTTCTTTCATAGTGTGTGATAATAGTGAAGAGTGAAGCCTTAAAAGACCTTTTTTTTTATTGCTAGTGGGGTGGGACTAAGTTCCTTATATTGCGGCCACTTCTGGCCTATTGTACCAGCCCCAGATGATAGGTGAGGGTGATTGTGGAGCAATTGGTGGAATGAAGATTGGCAGGGGAAACCGAAGTACTCGAAAAAACCTGCCCCAGCGCCACTTTGTCCACCACAAATCGCACTTGATCAGACCCGGGATTGAACCCGGTGGGAAGCCAGCGACTAACCGCTTGAGCTATGGCGAGGCCTTACAAGACCTTACTGACTGTTTACTCATTTAGAATTTTGTTCTGCCTTCTTGCCAATTTAGTATGAACTAAAAGCGAATAGTTGCAGTGAATAAAATGCTTGCTTATTGCGTGGGATGAGTTATTTAATTTAATCTAATTATTCAATTCATCCCCCCCCTCCAAAAAAGGTGCCTCCGGAATTATTAAGTACCACTTTCACTTTCCTTTCCTCATGAACTACACTTAATTTTTAAAGCACTTTGAAGAGAATGGATTTCATAATGTTATTTATATTTCCTGTTATGAGAAAATTGTACACAGTATTTTCACAATCTCTGTTTAATTCTGCTTTATAGAAAGAAAGACACGAAGCACATCTCCAAAACAGTGCAGATTGCCTAATTGCTGATTTATAGAAATTGGGCAAAGGTTAACTGGGCTTTGCTTCCTTTTAACACAAGAATTTTCCTGCAAGCAGACACGGGTTATAGGCCATGGTTTCACGTAGGATATAAGATGATTGAAGTTTCGCGGAGATTTATTTTCGAGACTGCTTTCAATTCTCCTGTCAGAAACTGTATAGCCTTATATATTTTGGGCCCATCAACACTAATTTAATCAATAGTTATATTTAAAGTTGCTGTCAATAATAAATTATCCAGAAAGTTAAGCTTAAATTTATTAACATCACTTTTTAGTGACACTGAGATTAACGACATGAAAATAGATGAAAAATAGCTAATTACGTTTTAGTATTTTAAATGTCCTACTTTATACCAAACAGACTTTCCTGGTACGAAATAAATTTATCATGATTTTATATTCGAAAGGATATGCAGACTTACAAGTCTTTAAAGGCCTACCTGTGCATGTAAACACCTGCTTACAAAACAGTATAAATGTAATTTCCACCCAGAAGAAAAAAATCACAGCACAATTCTTGTATTGCTAATACTAAGGACCTAAAAGAGTGAATATGTTATGGTGACTGTATTTAAGTGGTGATTATGAATAGCAACCGGTTGTTATTCATAACTCCGAACTGATTTTGTATAATTTCCGGTTATTATATACAATAACTAGATTATTCACTTCTACCTTAACATATATATTATTTTAACACTGATTAAGACATAATTTATCGTCAAGAAGCTAGCATGCAAGATCTAGTGCACGTTCCAACACTTCCAGTAACTGCAACCTATCATATTTACACGTATGCAAATGGCAACTGTTTACGTTTAGAACACGAAAGACTGCATTCTACGGTTCCTTTAAGTATGCATATACACAGAATGATATAGCAGACAGTTCACCCGGGATCTGATTTATTCCCGAAACTGCACGATTCCAGATCAGAAAGGCTGTAACGACCCGCTGGAAGGCGAACTCAGAGACCTCACGCGGCGCAAGTCCGGTCTAGTTGTCTCATCCCTCGGTATCATCTCTCGCTCTCTCTCTCTAGTTCACTCGTCATCCGCTTTGAAAGTCGCTAACTTACAATAACTTTATATTGATTGAGCAAAGGGAACATACACCGCATACAAATGTGACTGCTCACATATCAGCACAA